GTGGCAGCCTCCTTACTGACCTCCCTGTCCCTACTCTTGTCCTAAAATCCAGCCCAGAGGATTTTTTTCTAACAAGCAAGTCTGACTCCATTTCCAGTCTCCTTCTATGTTCCCACTTCCATGCAATATGTTCAAGACCTAAACTTGGCATTGGCAGCTCACAGTTCTATTCAAAACGGCAGCTTTTTAGAAAGTTACATTATGAACTACTTAAAACCCACAAAAAGGCATAAAGACTATAACAACACTCATACCCACCCCCTAACTTGAGAGATAAAGCCTTATCTCTAACACAGCCGAGGCTCCCCATGCACCGCCCCTCCCCACCCTCTCCCACAGAGGTAACTGCCACCCTGCATCTGTCATTATTCCTTTGGTATCTTTGTAATGTCACTTAACATGGCTTCTTTGTTTCATGATAACTGGTCATTCTTCCTTGTGAGCCTCTCTTGTGGTTGGATTTCAATGAAGTCCAAGAAATGCTAAGAAGAGACCATTTGAAATGGTTGTCCCTTCAGGCACAATCTCAGGCTCTCAGGTTGTGTCTCCTTCCCCTTGCTGCTCTCCAACGTGGCACCCAGGGAACTCACTGGATGGCTGGGTGGGAGGGGTGTTGTCTTTTGTGACCTTCTGGTTGAGGGTTGGGAGACGAAGTTCTCAAATCCATACGTCATCCTCCAGATCCTCGCTGATTCCTGTGGTAGGGTGGCTGGAGCTCCTCATCTGGACCCAGCCTGCCACCCTGACTCCAGGGGTGTCTGCCATCTTCTCCTCTAGCCCGTGATCCGAGAGGCCCACTTGGCCTTTGCTGTGGCCTCCCCTTGTCCTTCACCACTGCAGAACCCACAGTAGGCTCACTGATTCTCAACTCAACCATCTCCCATAATATATGGAAACTTCTGTGTCTACTCTAAGCCACATGGGGACTGAAGGGGGTTTGGAAGAGTCAAGTGCCAGCCCTTCCTCTGCCTAATCGCACCACTCTGTCCGTTTGGCTCTGATAAGTTGGTGCAGTCAGAGAGACATTCTCCTTTCTGATCCCAAAGGTGAAGCAGGGCAACCCCCCCGGTCAGGTGGTCACATCAGCCTACCAGACAGTTAGACAACGTTGTCCTTCATCTGCACCCTTCTTACCTCTGGGGTAGGTGGTCTCCAAAGAGGACCACTGTTAATTCATCTCCCCCTGTATGTGCATACTGCTCGTCCCATCAAGAAGTAGAAGATACTTCTATTCGGGGCTGGCCTTGTGACTTGCTTTGATCAACAGAGTGCAGTGGAAGTAATGTTCTGGTACTTCTGAACCCAGACCTTACATGCACTGGAAACGTCCTCTTCCTCACAACTGGAAGCCATCTGCCATGTGCCCTGAGATCACCATGCTATGAGAAAGCCCCAGTTATCCACATGAAGAGGCCAGAGAGAGGCAAGAAAGAGAGGCCCAGCCAGCCCCAGCTCTTCCATTTACCTCAGCTGAGGCACCAAACTTGGGATCAAGAAGTTATTCTGGATGTTCCAACCCCAGCTGAACTCAGCTCAGATTGTAGAATGATAGGAAATGACAAAATGTAGTTTTAAGCCACTAAATTTGAGAGGGTGGCTTATTAGGCAGCAATAGCTGAATAAAACACCTCTCCAGCTGCATTTTCCACTGCCGGCCTCATATTTATCCCCCAACAGCTCATATCAGCTTGTGGCTCCCTGCATACGCTATGCTGTGTCTCACTTTCGTACCTTTATTCAAGCTATAATCTCTCTTTTCCCACCTCTCTCCTTTGCCTGCCTATCTCCTGTTCCACTTCTGTCTCTTTCCTTTTTTTTTAAGAGGCATCCATGATACCCTAGGCAAATCACATCATTAAGCTAATAAATTAATTGTTTCTTTATGTGTCTGCCTCCCAAACTAGGCTTGAACCCTTTTTAAAAATATTTTTATTTTTATATAATTTTAAAGGTTACTTTAAAATTCACAGTTGTGACAGAATATTGACTATATTCCCCGAGTTTTATGGTACATCCATGAGCCTATTTTATACCCAGTAGTTTGTACCTCCCATTCCCCCACCTCCATGCTGCCCCTCCCCACCACTGGTAACCACTAGTTTGTTCTCTATATCTGTGGTCTGCTGCTTTTTTGTTTTATTCACTAGTTCGTTGTATTTTTAAGATTCCACATATAAGTGATATCATACAGTATTTGTCTTTCTTGTTCTGACTTATTTCACTAAGTATAATTAGGCTTGAATTCTTTAAAGCTGGTACCATGTCTCATTTAGCTTTGAGACACCTCTTTATATGGAAATGCACAAGCAGGTCCCTTAAACTCCTTTAGCTCAGTTTCCCTGTATCAGTGAGGGATGGCATTCAGTTGTCTGTAGCAGAAACCCAATCTCACTGGGTAAACCAAATAATGGCTTATTTTTTTCACATAGCAAGTCTGAAAGTAGGCCTGGGGGTAGAAACAATGGCTTTACAATGTCAGAATATTCCAGCTTCCTTCTCTCTTCCTGCTCCACCACCCTCAGAATATGGCTGTCCTCCTGTGGCTGCCTCAGGATCACAATATGGCTGCTCTACCACCAGCCTCATACCCATGTTCCAGGCAGGGAGAAGAAAGGAACAAGGAAGAAGGGGCAATGTCCCTTGGAAAGGAACACTTTCCCAGAAGTCCCAAGATCTCTACTCAAGTCTCACTGGCCAGAACCATATCACATGGCCATCCATAGATGCAGGAGAGACATGATAAAATGTTTGCAAAATGATAAATCACCCAGTGAGCCTAAACTTTGAAGTAGAAGCAGTAAATCTTAGGGTTATCTTTCTATAAGGAACAAGGAGAGAATGGATGTTGGGTAGCAACCAATAGTATCTGTCTCGTTCCCCACCTGTTAAACAGGATTAGGTTCTACCTCATAGAGTTGATAAAATTAAGAGAGAATGCAAGCAAAATATTGTGTACCAGGGACATAGTAAGCTCAATAAAAGCAATTATCTTTCTGCATTTCCAGATGTGGCACTTAATTCAAACATCCAAGAGTTTTCCTTGAAGGGGCAGAGAAGGAGTTGGCTCAGGGCAGCTGTCTCACTCTCTGTCTGCAGTGCTTCTGCAGTGAATTTGCTTCTGATGATTAACAAATCTTTTCTCAGTAGCCTCTTCAACTATTAATAAATTCAAATAGGATGATCACTGTGACTCTTGACCGACAATGTGTGACCCAGAAAAAACAAAGCTGGGAGAGACACAAAAGGCAAATGAACTGTTTTCATTGCTTTGTGGCTACAGAGTTGCATAGTTCATTTCTGATGCATGGAAAAATATCCAGCACAGACGACTGGTGAGTGGCCTCAGACCAGGGTACTTAGGAATAAACTCTCCACTGTCTTAGTCACTGGGACCTGGCAATGTTAGCAAAAGGAAAATTTGTTTGCTAAGAACCTGCTCTGCAAATCTACGACCCCCTTGCCCCACTGGGTTTTGTTTGTTTGTTTGCTTAAGCAGACTATTTAAAAATTTCTGTATTGGCTAGGACATTTTTGCTTACAAGGGAAAAGCTCAAAAAGGCTTATTAAAAGGTGAATTTATTGGTTTGAGTGACTAAAAAGTCCAAAGTAGAGTTTCAGGTCCAGCTAGATCCAGGTGCTCAGGAATCTCACTGTCTCCAAGGCTCTGCCTCTGTAGTAACAAAACAGGCCCCTTGCAGCTCCTAAATCACAACCTCCTGGCTCAGCAGCTCCAGCAGAAAGAGGATGCCTTTTCCACAGTGGTTCCAGGAAAAGCTCCAGGATTGGTCCAACTTGGGTCACATGCTCACCCCTGAACTAATCACTATGCTAAGGGAATATGGTTCTCTTACTGACTAGTCTGGGTCACATGCCTGAGCCCAGAGCCCGTGGGTGGAGTCAGCCCTGTTCAAGGACTTAGGCTGAGAATAGGGAAGGTTGGTCCTCCAGAGGTTAGTTGGGGTGCTCTTGCCAGCAGAACAGTGTGGCCAGGCCAGTCTCCAAAAAGCTAGAGTTCTGCCCAGATTTGGATTCATTTAGATACTATTGAATGTTAATACCTTAATAATTCCAGTGACACTCTTTGCCATCTGTCAAAATCCTACTCATTTTTCAGGCTCATTTCAAATGTCACCACAAACAAATCTCCCTAATAAGATTAATTTTCTATCAGCACTTTGTTTATTCCCTCTCCCCTTCCTGGCGTGTATCATTTCTTGCCATGGGGCATGGTGAGTTACACACCCATTTGTCTCCACTCTGGAGCTGAATGAGGCACACTCCCACTCACCACCAAGAGCCTGAGGATGAGGGCTTCTGTCCAGATGTGACCAGGCCTCAGAATGAAAAGAATGCAGGATGGTGAGGCGGGGAGATCACATGGCCCCCTCCAGGAAGAAAATACATCCATGGATCAAAATTGGATTTTAGAAGTCAGGCTAGCTTTTCTTTTTTAAGGCATATTGGAACCACATTTTTTTTTTTAAATATACTGTGGTGAAACCTGGAGTGAAGCTGCAAAGAGATTCAAATGCTGAGATGGCAGTTGTCTTGGAAATGACATGTCCTGAATGAATTAGGGGGAGAGAGTTGTGAGACGCCTTCCTCCCTTTAATAAACAAAATGCAAATATCCCAGATGCCTTTTACACTCTTCCCAGGGCTAGCAGCTTATTAATCAGTTCAGAACCTTTCTGCAATTTTTTTAATAAGCTGTCTGTTTCCTTTCCTGTCATTGGTGGCTTCATTCCAGGGACACACCCCTTGGGAGGGAAGGAGACGATGTACCGAGATCCTTCCAGCGTCTTGCAGGCACCTGCAGACTTCCCTTAAATGTTTCCTGTTCAACTCAACAGGTTTTAATTATGTGAACTAATATTTGCTCACTATTAAACCATGTTCAACCTCGTAAAAGGCAAACTCCAAAGGACTGGGATTAGGCAAGCCCAGAAAGAGCTGAACGTATGTTTACACGTGCTCATGTTTCCCGCCACCTCGCATTACCTCACGGCTCTGTCCTTCTGGGGCTTCTGTACCTTGGTCTTCATCTTGGAAGCAAACGATCACAAGTTCTCTCTTTTCAATTTCCCCCTGTCCCTGCTGGAAGCAGGACTAAGTTCTCCTCCTACAGACACCTCATTTTTCTGTGCAGAAATATCCTCTGTTGGTTCTTTAGTAAAGACTAACTCTTTGTGACCCTAATGCAACAGTGCTTCCCTTTCTGTGGCTTCTGGGTCATATTTCTGAACCAAAAGTGGAAAACTGCCTCAGAAAATGTGAGATGTATTGTTTCTCAGTTCTTGTCAAGCATATCGTGTAGTTTGTTCCACTGCCAAGTTTCTTCCTTATGATTCTGACATGTTGGTCCTAAAACACACTCATTTCCCATAACCAAAAGGGCCTGGGGGTGGGAGGCACTTTACAATCCAGAGATATAAAAATACTTAAATGTAAGACAGGACACCATAAATCTCTTAGAGGAGAACATAGGGAAAATATTCTCTGACATAAATCATAGCAATGTTTTCCTAGGTCAGCCTCCCAAGGCAATAGAAATAAAAGCAAAAATAAACAAATGGGATCTAATTAAACTTATAAACTTTTGCACAGCAAAGGAAACCACAAACAAAATGAAAAGACAACCTACGGAATGGGAGAATATATTTGCAAATGATGTGACTAACAAGGGCTTAACTTCCAGAATATACAAATACCACATACAACTCAATAACAAAACAAAACCAACCTAATCAAAAATAGACAGAAGACCTAAACAGATATTTCTCCAATGAAGACGTATGACCATATGACCAATGAAGACAATGAGGCCAATAGGTACATGAAAAAATGCTCAGTATTGCTAATTATCAGAGAAATGCAAATCAAAACTACAATGAGGTATCACCTCACACCTGTCAGAATGGCCATCATTAAAAAGTCCACAAATAGACATTTAATGATAAATGCTGAAGAGGATGTGGAGAAAAGGGAACCTACACTGTGGGTGGGAATGCAGTTTGGTGCCACTAGGGAAACAGTACGGAAGTTCCTTAAAAAACTAAAAATAGACTTACCATGTGATGCAGCAATCCCACTCCTGGGTATATATCTAGAGAAAACTCCAATTTCACAGCAGCACTATTTACAATAGCCAAGACATGGAAGCAACCTAAATGTCCACCGACAGATGACTGGAAAAAGAAGCTGTGGTATATTTATGCAATGGAATATTACTCAGCGATGAAAAAGAATGAAATAATGCCAACTGCAGCAACATGGACGGGCCTAGAGATTATCACGTATGAAGTAAGTCAGACAGAGAAAGATAAATATCATGTGATATCACTTAGATGTGGAATCTTAAAAAAATGACACAAATGAACTTACTTATAAAACAGAAAGAGACTTATAGACATAGAAAACACACTTTTGATTACCAAAGGGAAGAAGAAGGGAGGGATAAATTGGGAGCTAAAGATTAGCAGATACAAATTACTATATACAGAATAGGTAAACAACAAGATCCTACTATATTCAATAACTTGTAATAACCTATAATGAAAAAGAATATATATGTATAACTGAATCACTATACTGTACACCAGAAACTAACACAATATTGTAAATCAACTACACTTCAATTTAAAAAAAAGAGAAAAAGGGGGAGCATTTTTTAAATGCCCATTAAAACAAAAAAAGAAACATAAAAATGGAAGCTAGTTACTTCAGACTTCATGTCTGATAATAGCAAACACAGGGGTTTCTAATATATTGTTTGGGGTGGTTGTTCAATGTTCTTATTTTGAGCTTAGAGATTATGCAAGGTCCTTCTTCCCCTCCCTTAAACATGCACACCAGGCTGCCCCCATGGAGGGTGTGGAAAGGAAGCAAGAATCAAGTCACACATCTACCAACCAGTGGGAACTGAGCCATTTCATCCACAAAGTAGCTGGAGCAAGAACGGGTAGGCGCCCTTTCATTTACAATAGAGCCTGTGTATGGATCACGAGAACTCTGACCCACACCAGAAGCGCTCAGCACAGTAGATATTTAACAAGGCAAAACGCATGCCCTTCCTCTTCTCTAAATTTGTTCCGTGATGTTGGTGGAATGAAAGTCTTCGGCTTTCAATACACATCACTCTGATATAAATAACCACCTCTGAGGGCCTCAAGCTTGACTTCCTCAAAGCTCAGGTCTTCACTTCCCCCAATGTGTGGTCAAACACACCTGTTCCTCCAAAAATGGCACGTTGACTTCTGGGTAAATTATCCTCAGATAGTTCTGAGGCAAGGTCCACTACCTCATGGCTCGGTTGCACACACATGCAAGATTCTCCATCGCGTTTCTCCAAAGACACTAGCCTACAAATCCAGGTAGGTGGTTCTGGAAATCAAAGAAAACCTGCCATACACCGAGCTCTTTCATCACTGCTGCCCAGTAGGTATAAATAGTTCAGCTGAAAACATGCCTGTGCAGACAAACCTGTGTACACTGCACACACACACACACACACACACAAAATGCCATGTGTCACAAACAGTAGAAAATTCCATGCTTTCAGGACGGGCACCGGCCAAATCCTTAAATTGTGAAGCTATGAATGTAAGCAGCAAAACGAGTGATTTCAGGCCACTTTTGATTACATTTCTGGAACTTGGCCAGCAGAGTAATTTCCAAGCAAACCAGCTCAGACGGTTCCCAGTTGCATGTACAGCTCACCAGCCTGAAATCAAGCTCTTTGTCAAGCTGGAGGAATGTTTCTTCTCAGCCCAGCTCAAGCTCCAGTCCTACAACATGTTAACTCACTCGCAAGTAATCAGCCTTCCCAAAAATGTGCAAGGAAAAATCTCAAAGAGGAGGGGCGCGCAGAACAAAAGCTCCTCACACTGTGAGCAACTGGAGAGTCTGTGATCAACCAGACAGTTCCACGCTGAGCACTGCTAGTTAACAGACAAGCTGGTGCTCCATTTCAGACAAAGGAGGAGACTGGACTGGTTCACACACACTTTTCCCATATGTGACCCTACACGTATCACCCAGTTGGTCCAGAAAATAGTTCCCCTTCAGTGGGCGGCCTTGCTTGAGGAAATCATGTCTATAATCAAAAGCTGACCCTGGGCCTTTGCAATAAAGTTTGAACTGGACCCCATTCTATACTGAGGATGGGCTTAGAGCACATAACCTATCTGGGGGCACGTACCCAGGTTGAGAGGAGCTGGGGCCTTAGGAGGGGAGAAGCAGCTTTGGTTTTCCTGACCTGAGAACCCAGATCCAGTGCGCATCAGGCTATCTTGAGGATTCCAGTGTGGAGCCTTCCTCCTCATTAGACCCAAAAGTCCATGAGAACTGCACTTTAAAGTTCCATAAATACACAGTAAATGAGTAACTAGTCACTGACCATTTATAGGCATCGGCATTTGGGGTGACAACCATTGATATAGAACGTTTCCCCCATTTAAAATCTAACTCAGGCTTAAATTATTCCAAAGTAAAACAAAAACATTTTAATTTTTGACAGCTTCTTAGCTCTTTGATGTTATCACCTGTCTTGAATTTAAAAAAAATAAATATTTAAAAATCTAGGCAGCAAATGGTATAATTTTATTCAGCCCCTAAGTGTTGGATTATAAATTAGTCTCTGTCTCTCACCCTCATAAATTCCAGACTGAGTAAAAAGCCTAATGTGAAAATCAAAATGAGTATGAGAAAGAAACATGAGAGAATAGTTTACAGTCTTGAGATTGGAAAGGACTTTCTAAGCAAGATATAAAACCCGGAAACCATAAGGGAAAAGATTTATGAATTTGACTGCATTAAAATTTTAAACTTTGTGAAATAAAAGGCAATACAAGCAAAGACCAGGAGAAAATATTTACAACAGCTATAACACAGAATTAACATCCGGAATGAAAAGGACATACACAAACCACCCAATAATTAATATGCACAGAATATTCATAAGAAATTCACAACTATATTTGGCTAGGTTGAAAGAGCATTACTCATAACCCCCAAAATTCATTCCTAGATACATATACCCAACAGAAATGTATGCACATGTATTCTAAGAAGACATGCACAAGAATGTTCACAGCATCATTTATTTGCTAACAGCTAAAAGTTGGGAAGAACCCAAATGTCCATCAATCAATAAGTTGTGGTACATTCACATAATGGAATATGATAAGCAATGCAAATGAATACATTAAAGCCATGAGCAAGCCATGACTCAATGCTGAATGAAGGATGCCAGACATAAGAGTTCCATTGATATGAAGTTCAAAAACAGGCATGAGTTATCTATGGAAGTTACATTACAGGATAGGGAGTACTTTGGGGGAGGTAGGAAGTTTGATAATACTCTATTTCCTGACCTGGGTGGTGGTTACAGAAGAGCTCACCCTGTGTTAATTCTTCCAGCAGTACAGTTGTGACTTGTGTGCTTTTCTGTGTTTTTATACTTCAAGAAATTTTGCTCCAAAAAATCTAAATGGTCAACAGGCATATGAAAAGATGCCCAACAAAACTGGTCTACCAGAGAAATGCAATTTTAAAGGACACAGTTTTTTCTGCACATAATGCTGGCAATTTTTTTTATCTATTAATTTCCAGGGTTGATGAGCGTTTTGGTGGCAATATAAATTGGAATTTCCCAGAAGAAGCTTGGTAATATTTACCCAGAATTTAACTGTGCATGCCTTTTGGTCCAGAAATTGTACTTCTAGGAATATATCCTTCAGAAGTACTTATACAGAAGCACACACATTTGTGTACAAGAATGTTTGCTGTAGTATTGTTTGTAATGCTGCAAAATGGCAAACCACCTATGTGTCCTTCAATAGGTAAAGAAGCTATAATACAGCTATGCAATCTGGAAGGAATGTAGCCTAAAGAAAATGGGGGAAGCCCCTATGTACTAACACAGACAACATTGTTGAGTTAAAAAAAAAAGAGTTACGGAACAGAACATTTTTATGATCTTGTTATGTATAAATGACCTGAATATAAATTTATTTTTTTGTTGTTGATTTTTTAATTTAAAAAAAAATTTTTTAAACAAAAATATGTAATGCTTCACGAATTTGGGTGTCATCCTTGCTCGGGGGCCATTCTATTCTTCTCTGTATCTCCAATTGTAGTGTATGTGCTGCCGAAGTGAGCGCTTGTTGATTTTTTAAAAATTGAAGTATAGTTGTTTTACAATGTGTTAGTTTCTGATGTACAGCATAATGTTTCAGTTATACACATATATTCTTTTTCATTATAGGTTATTGCAAGATATTGAACGTAGTTCCCTGCGCTATACAGTAGGTCCTTGTTGTTCTGAATGTAAATTTTTAAAACAAACAAGCAAAATTTAAAACAAGAAAACAAAACTGAAATCTGATATGGCTCATTGATCTGAGTAGCTTAAAATCCCATCACAAAATAAACTTCTCTTGAGAGAAAAGAATTCCCTGAAACCGTCTCTCTGCGTCCTGAGACGAAGCCTGGGAAGACTGGACCAGGGAGGAAAGAACTGTGTCCCGTTCCACAGCCTCCCAGAGGAGCCTGGGTGTCTCAGAAATGCCAGCTCCCACACAGGCCGAGCAAGGGCACATGGAGTCTCTCCAGCCTTTTGTGCTGCCCAAGCACTTTCCAATAATTAACTAATCCGCCTCAAGGGCGGGGTGGGTGTGGCTCGCACAGACCCACTCCCTTCTGTCAGCAGAGGCATCCCCCAGCAGAGGCCGTCCCTCCGCCCTGCCCTGCCTGGCCCCAAACTCAGGAAGGCGAGGGGGCCCCTCAGGGCACCGCCCAGCAGACAACAACTTCCTCCCTCAGCACGTTCTCCAGGAAGGGCTGTATTCTCTTCCCTCCTGGCCCCACCTCCGCCTTTGAGGAAGAACTTGGCCACAGGCAGCAGGAGAAATAACATCTTCATACTGTCAGTTTCAACTTTGCCTTTTTTTTTTTCTTTTTCTTTTTTTTTCGCTGAAGGATCCCAGGAACAACAGAAAAATGTGTCCATCCTTTCAATTTTCTTATTGCACAAATAAACTAAATAGCAGGAGCAGTCTCTGTTACAATATTTTCAAATGGTTGGCATCAGGAGCAAAGGTTTCCAGCCTGTGGAATTTAACAAACCATTAAAAATTCCACAATTTGGGAGAAGCCTAGCATAGGATTGCTCGTTTATTTTTTGCCAAGTACAGAGGTTTGTTTTTTTTTAATAAAAAAAAAGCTTGACTCTCACCACCATAAATGAGTGGGCACCTTAATACCAAAACAATGTTGGTCACGACAGTCTCAGATTGAAAAACAGCACTTTAAATTTAATACGCTTAGATCTGTGCAAAATATACAGGTACTCCTCATAGACTGGTGACCGTTTCCTCACAGGCTGGCGTCAGTCCCCTTGAAAGGGGCTGACAGAGATTAAATCCTAAATTCCCAAACCTGGCTATGCCTAAGAGAGACAGTAAGGCATTTAAAAGAAAATACAGACTCTGGGTTCCCACCCCATATTTACTGCGTCAGCCTCTCAGCTCTTCAAAAGTAGGGCCCTGGTATGTGTACTTTTTTTTTTTTTTTAGGTTTTTACTGTGCTAAAAATATATATATATAAAATTTACCATTTAAACCCTTTTTATCTGTACAATTCAGTGGCATTAAGTACATTTACAATGCTATGCCATCAACACCATTGTCCATTTCTTGAAACACTTTTATCAACCCAAACAGAAACTCTGTAATGTTTAAAAATACTCTCTATTTCTCCTTCCCCCCAGCTCCTGGTAATTTCTACTCTACTTTCTAGGTACTGCGTATAAATGGAATCATAACAATATTTGTCCTTTTGTGTTTGGTTTATTTCACTTAGCATAATGTTTTCAAGGTTCATTTATGTTGTAACATATATTAGAATTTCATTCCTTTTTATGGCTAATTAACATCCACTATATGTATATGCCACATTTCCTTTATCCATTCATCTGTTGATAAGCAGTAGGGTTGTTTCTACCTTTTGGCTATTGAGAATAATGCTGCTACAAACATTGGTGTACAAGTTTCTCTTTCAGTGCCCTCTTTCAGTTATTTTGGGTATTTACCAAGGAGTGGAGTTGCTGGATCACATGGTCATGCTATGTTTAACTTTGTGAGGAACCATCAAACTGGTTTCCATCACAGCTGCATTTTATATTCCTATCAGCAATGCTCGAGAGTTCCAATTTTCTACATCTTTGTCAGCACCTGTTATTTTCTGTTTGTTTTTTCACTTTGGGGTTTTCTTTGGGCCAGGGGGCAGGTAATAACCATCCTAAGGGGTGTGAAGTGATATCTCTTGTGGTTTTGATTTATATTTTTCTCATGACTAATGATGTTGAGCATCTTTTCATGTGCTTATTTGCCCATGAAGGGATGTATGTCTTCTCTGGAGAAACATCCGTTCAAATCCTTTGCCCATTTTTAAATTAGGTTTTGGTTTTTGTTGTTGTTGTTGTTGTTGGATATAGGAGTTTTTAACATACTGAATATTAACCCCTTATGAGACTTGCAAATATTTTTTCCCATTCTGTGGGTTGTCTTTTTACTTTCTTGAGGGTATCCTTTGATGCACTAAAGTTTTTAATCTTGTTGAAGCCCAGCTTATCTATTTTTTTCTTTTCTTGCCTGTGCTTTTGGTGTCATATCCAAGAAATCATTACCAAGTCCAATGTTTCTCCTCTGTTTTCTTCTGAGAGTTTTATAGTTTAGCTCTTAAGTTTAGGTCTTTGTTTCTAAACAAAGTTGATTTTTGTATGTAGTATAAAGACAGTGTCCAAGTTCATTCTTTTGCATGTGAGTATCCAGTTTTCCCAGTCCCTTTTATTGAAAAGATTGTCCTTTCCCTATTGAGTGGTCTTGGCATCCTTGTCAAAAATCATTTGATCATATATTCAAAGGTTTGTTTCTTAGATCTCTAGTCTATTCCATTGGTCTATATACCTGTCCTTACCCCAGTACCACATTGCTTTGATTACTGTGGCTTTGTAGTAAGTTTTGAAATCAGGAAGTGTGAGACCTCCAACTTTGTTGTTCTTTGTTCTTCCTTTGAAAGATTAGTCTGACTGTTCCAGGTCCTTTGAGATACCATATACATTTTAGAATGGGTTTTTCTATTCTGAAGGAAAAAAAAAGATGCTGGGATTTTCATAGATTGCACTGAATGTGTAGAGCAGTTTGGGTATTTTCATCTTAACAATATAAAGTCTTCTAGTACATGAACACAGGATGTCTTTCCATTTATTTGTCTTCTTTAACATCTTTCAGCAATGTTTTGTAATTTTCAATGTTTGAGTCTTTATCTTCCTTGATTAAAAATTTATTCCTAAGTATTTTATTCTTTTTGACACTCTGGTAAATGTAATGACTTCCTTAATCTCCATTTCAGATTTTTCATTGCTAATATATACAAAAGTAACTGATTTTTTGTGTGTTATTTTGTATCCTGCAACTGCTGAATTTGTTTATTAGCTCCATTGTTTTGTGTGTGTGTGTGTGTGTGTGTGTGTGTGTATCCTTAGGTTTTTATGTATAAAAGATTATGTCATCTGTGAACTGAGATAATTTAACTCTTTTCTTTCCAATGTAGATGCCTTTTATTTCTTTCTAATACCTAATCACTCTGGCTAGAACTTCCAATATTATGTTGAATAGAAGCCAGTATCCTTCTTTTGTTCCTGATCTTAAGAGAGAAGCTCTCAGTCTTTCACCATTGACTATGATGTTAGCTGAGGGTTTTTCATATGTGGGCCTTTATAATGTTGAAGAAGTTTCTTTCTGTTTCTAGTTTATTGAGTGTTCTTGTCATTGAGTGTTGAATTTTGTCATATGGTTTTCTGCATCAGCTGAGGTAGTCATGTGGGGTTTTTTTTCCTTCATTCTATTAATGTGGTATATTACATTGATTGATTTGTATATGTTGAACTATCCTTGCATTCCATGAATAAATTCCATTTGGTCATGGTACATAATACTTTCAATATGCTGCTGAATTCAATTTGCTAGCATTTTAAAAACTCTGTATTCATAAAGGGCCATGATCTATAGTTCTCATTCCTTGTAGTATCTTTTTCTGGTTTTGGTATCATGGTAATGCTGGCCTCATAGAATGAGTTGGGAAGTGCTGCCTTCTGTTCAGTTCTGGGGAAGATTTTGAGAAAGAGTGGCATTAAGTCTTTAAATTTTTGGTAGAATGCACCAGTAAAACCATCTGGTCCTGGAATGTGTATTTCTAAGCCAACTTCTCCCCCTTCCCTTCTCCCATGATTCTAATATATGTTTGGGTTGGAGACTAACTACCCCAAATACCTGATCTGAACACTCTTGGATTTAACTCTTGATTAACTAGCCACATTTAGTTTTTAAGAAAAGAAAAAAAGGTAGCTCTCTCTCTTGCCTTCCAAGATGGCCTGCACTCTGTCTATGGAGTGTGTGCCTACTTTTACTTTAACCTTTATTGTAATCACCACCCCCCCACCATGTACATCTCTCTTAAATAAACCTACTTTTACTAAGAGAGAAAGGAAGAGAGGGAGGGAGGGAGGAAAGAAGGGAGGAAGGGAGGAAGGAAGGAAGGAAGGAAGGAAGGAAGGAAGGAAGGAAGGAAGGAAGGAAGGAAGGAAGAAACAGAGAGAGTGAAAAGGCTTTGGGTAAGAAATGTATCCAGGCTACCCAGCTCAGGAAGTGCCCACAGGAGAGAAACAGAAGGACCCAGGGGTAAGCGAGCCTCTGAAAACAAGGATGTTGTCAACCTCCAGAGGAACGGAATGCCCTGGTTTACAGCTCGTACCCTTCATCTGGCTGCAGCTGCTTCCATCCAGAGAGCTTCTCCCCATAGTTGTACCTGGCCTATAGCCACTAGAGTTCTGGGCAAGAAGTTACTCTGAGAGAGGGTGAGGGAGGAGGTGTTATATATAAAACACAACTCACAGGAGTCAGATGGCCAGGGATCAGGTCCTTCTCTGAGCTCTAACGCGCCAAGAGGATGGTGCTCACGTAGCAGGAAAGAGGAAGCTTATTGGCACAAATTGATTAATGTGAAGCTGTTCTCACTAAAGTATTTTCTTAGTCTACTTGTGCATAAAGATCGTGGAGTTTGGGAAAGCGTCATAAAAGTTGTCATCAGACAGAAAAGCGA